GGGGGGGGGTAGATGTGCGCTGTTGCGCCTTTGATCCGGCGTGACATGGACATTTTGCTTTGCGCTGCTATACAAAAACGTAGGTACACTATGCTTTGAATTTTTGCGTGCACCGAACACTCAGGTTCGCTCGGTTTACAGCATAAAGCTTTTTTCCCTCTGATCCGCTAGCGGCCTTGGCAATTTTTTTAAGTTCGCTCTCTGTTGTCAAATACTTACGTGCAAGTAAAACAGCGAAAAGTTCAACGGCGCTTTGCACCCCGTACCGCACCGCTACTTTATCCGGTTTGGTAGGTAAAAGTGTTTTTTTACCATCACCTTACACCATTTGATATGTCAGTGTGTCAGATTCGCTTCTTGGCAGCAACTCTTATCAAGTTACACCGATCCGCCTTGCTTGCCTTAGCGTTTGGAACTTCGGCTTACGTTCTTCGAAGAAATACGTCCACCCGCCTCAACCTTTTTCAAACCCCCCACCCACCCTTTCCCTCGTTCTTGTCCGCGTGTCCCCTCTCCGGCGCCTGGGTTTGCATCTGCGTTGTTTCTCTGGTGTCAGGTTTCGGTTTACCCGACGAAGGCGCCGTACGACCCGCGTGACCTTTGCCGCGGAAAGGTGTGTACCTTGGTATATTCATGGCATGGTAGGAAGTACATGCCATGCTGTTGGGTAGATTTTGAACTGCCTTTGCCATTCGGGTTGGGCCACACGTTGTTGGGTGGCTTCCTTTGGGGGGGGGCTATTCTCCCCTTCGGGTACTTTAGCCATGTTACCCACCACCGCTGTATGCCGTTGTTGCTAGTGTACCTCTCCCAAGGTTGGCCGGGACGCTCTTGTCTGTTGCTGTGCCGTTTTCAAGGTTGGCAGCGACGCTCTTGTTACACATTCAAGTACCATGTTACCGACCGCTGGGTACTCTTTCTCTCTCTCGCTCTCTCGGTGCCTTTTTTTCACCGTGGGCAAGTGACCTTTTTTTTGTGCTCGCGTTAACTCGTATCGTGGTGCCTACCGCCGTGTGCTCTCTCTTTCTACCTTGTTTCAGGTTGGCAACGATGGTTCCATAGGCACGTAACCTTATTTGTGCTCGTGGTAACTCGTACCGTGATGTCTATCGCTGTGTGCTCTCTCTTGCTACCTTTTTCCAGGTCGGCAGCGACGGTTCCAGCTGGGTGCCCGGGTTCTTCGACCGCGGTTCTTACCAGGAGTACCTTAGCGGGTGGGGCAAGTCGGTCGTCGTTGGAAGGGCGAGGATCGGCGGTATCCCCATGGGCGTCATCAACGTGGAGACTCGCCTCAGCGAGCAGGTGCGAGAACCCACGCTAAACAACTATGTATACTTCAATTTTATATCCAGTGTATCGTTTGAAGGGCGCGACTCCGGAGTGGGTTAATCGGAGCATAGTATTGTAGTGGTGTCATCAAGGTCTGATGCAAGATGACAGTGAAGCGTTTGCTGGTGTGAATCAACCACCGGCTGCAGTGTCACGTTTCCCAAGCTCTAACAGCTGACACAGCTGACGTGTTTTTGGCTTGAACAGCCCAGCCAACCTCACCTAACCAAAAAAATAGAATATACTAAATAATCTGTATACAGCTTATTGTGAGTTTTTTTGTGTGCCGAAACGACGATCGTCATCCAGGTTCAAGGCGGAGTTCAAGAGGAACCATCTGTCGTACGTTGTAGGCACACCAGTCTTCTGTTGTCATTTTTGTTTTGTGTTTGCTGTCATTCCCTGTATTTTTGACGCCCACGGTTTCCCCGGTGTTTCCGGGTGTACTCACGGCGTATTGCGCCCCCCCCCCCCCACCCCCTCACACCATTTCGAGATCATCTCGGAAGGTTCTACCGAAGAAAAGTTTTGCGGCTGATTTGTTTTTGTATCGCCTCGAGGAATGAGTATGCTCAATCCCCTTCTCGTGCCTCTCCCCTTTCGATCCACGGCACCCCTTTTCGATTCTTCTCACCCCGTTTCGCTCCACGTCTCCCCTTTTCGCTGCTGCCATGGTGCTGCTCTTGGTGGCGCTGCGGTTGCTGGTGGTGCTTGCTCGTTTGGGTGATTCAGATCATCCCCGCGGATCCTGCCAACCCCGACTCGAGAGAGGTTATCCAGGCCCAAGCCGGACAGGTAGGCCTATTAGGGCGTAGTACCGGTGACCCCCCCACGTATGCTTTTGTGTGGGTAGCAATGAGGTTGTTCATTCGTTTCTCTTGTGTGTGCGCAGCCCTGGCTTCACCTCCGCGACCTGGGCGAGCTAAATTGGTATCGTTTTTTTTGTCGCTGATGTCGAGCTGCTGCTGTCGTTGTTGTTCGATCACGTGTGTTTGCCCCTGGTGTTGGTCGTAACCGTGAAGAGTTGGTTGTGTCGATCCCCCCCCCNCCCCCTTGTAATTTTTCTTCTATTATAGTGGCCCGGCTGATGACCGAATTAGAGTATGCTGAACGGGAGGTGTAGCTGGCGCCGTCACATATTGGACAACGACGCCCATAGCTTCGCCCGTGAACCCCCCCCCCCCCCCCCCCCCCCCCCCCCCCCCCCCCCCCCCCCCCNCCCCCCCCCCCCCCCCCTCGGGATCCATGTTTCGCGTGGTGCTTTTGTGCGTGTAGGTGTGGTTCCCGGACTCTGCCTACAAGACGGCCCAGGCGATCAACGACTTCAACCGTGGGGAGAACCTACCCCTCATGATCTTCGCAAACTGGCGCGGATTCAGCGGCGGGACTCGCGACATGTGCGTCGGTTTGGTCGGGTTGGTCACTGCTTTGACGCCCATGGCTGGTGGAGAGGTGCCACGCTCTCTTTTCTTTCGTGTTCCACTGCTGTGTTGGCATATGCATGCGCTGAGACTCGATTTTCAGCAGTTTCTGTCATATCGCACACCGTGCGCATGTGTCCGGGCACGCTTTGCTGCCGTAGGTTTGCAGGCATGGCACCAGGTTTCGCTGAATTAATTTTCGATACTCCGAACATCCGAAGGCAAAGGGTGCTGTATCTGATTTTTTTTCTACCGAGTGCTCGCGAACGAGAAAAGGGTTCTTTCGCCACACGTGTGACTTCGGTCATTGCTGTTGCTGTTGCGCAGTGCTGTGACGCTTTTTTTTTATGTTTTTGTTTGTTTTTCGGCGGAAATCACTGTAAGGTATGGCGAGATCCTCAAGTTCGGCGCGCAGATCGTGGACGCCCTGGTGGCCTACAAGCACCCGGTGTTCGTGTACATCCCGCCCAACGGAGAGCTGAGGGGGGGAGCCTGGGTGGTTATCGACCCCACCATCAACGATCAGGCTCGTGGTTTCATTTATTTTTGAAAATATTTGCTACATGCTTGAGAGCATACTTCCTCTGTTTAGGGTAAGCTAGTCCGTGACGACGGGAATCGACCACGTCGAGTGTTAGATCAGTACGGACAGATGCAGGTACTGGGGAGAGACATCGGAACTGTTTTTAACGCGAAGAGAAGGAATTGCAATCAAAGCGAAAGACTACCCGTTCTGGGTAAAGAGATCGGAACGGTTGTAAGTGTTAAGACAAACATGCAAATGGAAGAGAAAGGCTACCCGTTCGAGCAGTTTTTTTTTTGTACGGAATGGGTGGCTTTGTGTCGCGCACAGTACATTTAGCATGGTGCATCATCTCCAATCCCGCAGGCATTGGCTTGGAAGTTGTTTCGCTACGCTGGAGATATCGCAATCACCATGTGTGCCGTAATCGACACAAGATAACACACTCCCTGGACCGATTTTCAAAGCTCGATCACTCCACGACGAAGAGGATGCATACACGAAACGATACATTTTTGGAAAGCTCTCGACGAGGCGGTTTCAACGCCGCCGTTTTCGGCGCCGTGGCTCTTACTGTTGTTGAGAAATCGAGATTTGAAAAATCGGTCCAGGGGGTGTGTTATCTTGAGTCATTTGCGGTATGAGAAGACAAAAACATCTAGCAACGATGACGGCAGAGCGTCCTCGCGCTCGAGATGGGTGGCTGCTCATGTAGCTCACCGTGTATGTATAGCATGGTGCATTGTCTTCCATCCCGCGAACAGGCGAGGACAGAGCCGTTCCCGCCCGCCGATGTAGCATGTCTGCTCCTCGCATGGGAGGTTTGCTTCATCACCTCCTACCGATAATATAGACTATTGTTCGGTTGCATAATCATTGTGTTGTTGACATGGTGCATTTTGCTTTTTTGTTGAGGTTGAGGTTGTTGTTGTGCGGCAATCAGGTGATGGAGATGTACGCCGACGCGGAGTCGCGGGGCGGCATCCTGGAGCCTCCGGGCATCTGCGAGGTTAAGTTCAGGGCCGCCGACCAGATCACCAAGATGCACGAGGTGACTGACTTTGCATCTATATTGGCGTACCTACCGGTATCTGTCTCTGTCTTGCTTTGTTGTGGTTGACTGGGATGCAAAAGGTGACATACCTACCCACCAGTATCACTGCTGTGTTGGCCATCGGTTGTGGCGTCGCCGCGTGATGAAAATGCGCGGTGACGTGATATCTCTCCGTCAGCCCGTCTCACTTTTTGTTGTGTTGAACAGTCAATCAATGGTTGGCGTGCTTATCGCCCCGTGATGATGACTGTTTGCTTATTTTGCTCTTCCTATGACGAATGTTATCACGCCTAAGAGTGCCGTTCTCGGGGCCATTTGCATGTCCTCCCACAAAATTGATATTTTTCGGTTCAGTTATGATGACATGCTTAGAACACAACTGTTATATGTTTGGCCTCGGGACGACGATTTATGGTCGTTCAGCTTCAGTCTTGGATGCTGCTGCCGTCCCTCTGCTTGTCAACGTCTGTCGTTCGGCTTTGGTCTTGGATACAGCTGAACCCTGTCTCTTCCTCTGCTTGTTTTTGTGTATTTCGCCTCTGTCAAAAAACAGCTGGACCCTATCCTTCAGGGGCTGGACGGCGACGTGCCGATGGCGGGATCGGAGGAGGACGAGCAGGCCCTCAAGAAGCAGATCAAGTCTCGCGAAAACGCGCTCTTGCCCATGTACCTCCAGGTAGTTGGTGTGGTAATTACATAAGCCGAACTCAAACCGTTAGCGCAGACTATGGTCCAATGGCTTGATTTCGGGTTCTATGTATAACGCGTGAGCGACTTCTCACACGGAGATGGATGGCATGTGTTGAACATGGGATCTGACGCAGAGAAGGAAAGCTGCTGGTGCTGCTGCTGGTGCTGCTGTTGCGAATGCCTATTTGCAACCTTAACTCTGTTGCTTCTGTCGGTTTTCGTTCCTGTCTGTGACGAATCCACCCCGCCCCTCAGGTCGCTCACGAGTTCGCGGACCTGCACGACCGGTCCGGGCGCATGAAGGCCAAGGGTGTGGTGCGCGACATCCTGGAGTGGAAGACCTCCCGCGAGTACTTCTACTGGAGGGTGAAGCGCCGCCTGGCCGAGAACGGCGTCCGCAAGATGTTCAAGGACGCCGACCCTTCCATGTCCTTCGACGACACCACCAAGCTCATGCAGGTGATGTGTGGGACCCTCGTCCAATCGAGGGAGTTCGTTTGTGCCCTGAGGAGCCCTCGTGTTAAGTTTCCTGACCTCAGAGTGCAAAATCGTTGGTTGACACACGACACAGCTCTTCATTGTCACGGACTGACCTCGACGAGGCAAAGCTACAGGTGGCAATGCCATGGTGGTGGAGGGCCCTTCTTTGCGCTGGTCGCGTGCTTAGGGCTGCCGTATTTGGCCGTGGTGGTGTGGTGGTGTGCCTTCGTGATCGTGAAGTCCTTAGGGTAGGGTAACGTACGTTTTTCTCCTTTCGCGCGCGCGTGAGGGACGATGAGGCGTTATTATCGGTGCCGTGCTATCGTGGTCTAGGTACCGTTGCTTGTTTGTTTTCTTTCGAGCGCTTTTAAGGAAGAGCGAGGCGTCACTGGCCCCGTGCTTGCGGTAGGTAGGCTCTCATGCCCTCCTGTGCTAACAACAACTCGCGCGTTCCGCTCGTCTTCTTCTTTTGGTCTGTTTCTTCTGTCAGTCGCTCTGCCCTGACTGGGAAAACGACAAGGCCGTGCTGGACTGGGTCGAGTCGGACCAGTCTTCCCTCAAGGAGTACCTCGCCGGCCTCCGCAGGTACATACGTCAAGAGAAGTGAAGTGACTGGCGACGATGGCGTGTCTCTTGTCTCCTGGACCGACCACTCGTGCTGTATTTTGGGGGGGTGTTTTGGCTTGAATGTTTTGGTTGCGGGTTTTTTGCCTGCGGTCGTTATGCTCTTTGGACTACCTAGTTATGGCCGAAGGAAGCCTCTGACGATAAGCAAATGGGTCATTGCTTGGCGGCGTCTTCTGTAGTCGGGCTATCTATGCCTACTTTCGGCACCCATCGTCAGCTGGGGATATTCATGGTGTAGGTCGGGCAATCTCTGGGTCATGGATGAAAGAAGGCATGCAACATGGCACCATATATATATATATATATATATATTTTTTTTTCTCGCCAACAGCTGAACCTCTCCTACTTGCGCTTCGCTCGCTCCTGTCTGTTGCCCCCCCCCCTCCCTCTTCATGGAATGGAATGGGTGGACAGCGACGCGGTCCGGAGGGATGTCGCCGCTAGCCTCTCAACGCTCACCCCGGAGCAGAAGGCCAAGGTGTTGGAAGGCCTCTAAGGCTAAAGCCGACCCTTGGTGTTTTCTCGTGGTACGTAGATCTTGCTTTTTTATTGTTTCTGCGGTGTCTTCCGTTCCGAAACCCCGTTGGTTACATTCACGAGAAAGTCTTAGAGGTGTGCATTTGCTTGGGGTGATTGGTCGAGAATGGCGTGTTCGGCTTCGACCTCACGCCGCGTGATCCTGGACGGCATGGTCCGGTAGGCAGGGGGCTCTCATAGCCGTGCATGCGGTACCGCAGTAATCGCTAGACCGCTATTGACCTCGCATCCCTATAAATCTGGATGAGCACGCCAGGTTTCCACCCGAACAGACTAGCACACCGCCAAGACAGACTAGCACATACCCAAGACGGGGGGAGGAGTTAGACGGCCCTTGTTAGGTTGTAGTGTAGCGTGTGCGAGAGTTCGCTTCCACGGGAGGCTGGCATTGTGGCAGCAGGCCCAAGAGGAAAGGAGGGGGGGTTCGAGATGGGTCGGCCATCTGGCCACAGGGTTGCTTCGCGAGCGGGAGCCGGTTGGGGCGGGCGCCCGTCATGGCGTTGGCTGTCGTGGTGGAGGTGGATGTTTGTTGGTCGAGTGGGGTTGTTGGTCCACCCATCAGCGGGTTTTAGTTTGAGAGAGGCGGCGCCTGTTGTTTCGGTTTGTGCGGTGGACGGGCTGCTCTCTTCGAAAAAGTGACCCCGCCCGTAGTCGATTATACCGGTCTTTTTTTTTTTTCTGGTCTGGAACCAGAGCACCCGCGGCCACCCTGGGGGGTGGCGTGCTTGTCGTCTTGTTTTGGTATGTTTGTGTTGGGGGTGCGTTCCATATCTCGCCATCTGTCAGCCCTGGTCTCTGCTTAGGGTTATTAGTCGTTATTTTTTGTCTCTTTGACATTTAATCTTTCCTCCGATTGGAAAAGCGGCGGGGGATTGGGGGGCTACTGCCGAACGCAACATCATTTTTTTTGTGTGTGTGTATTGGCTCGATTGTTCTGGCTTTTTCCGCAGTGGTAGGGGTGCAAACGAAACTACTCGCGGTTGGATAATTGGTGTCCAGTGGCTCCATTTGTCTTTTTCCGAACGCAAGAGGGCAGGTTGCTCTCGCTTCCCAGCTATCTCTCTCTCTCTCTTGGTCGGTCGCCACCTTTAAGTGCGCCTCACACTGGGACCAAAGTTCCGGGGGAACGAACCGGTAGAAATTCCGCCGCGTTTTCCGGTATTGAAGGAGGGGCCGGCCGGTCCCCAAGCCGCGCCACACGAGGGGGAATTATTGTAAACTTTTTTGTGCCGGATTTGGTGAGTGCCTTGTTGCATCCACCGCCTGGACGGAGAGGGGGCGCTCCAGCAATGCTCTTCGATCGAGGCTGTGTTTGCGGGCCGCGGGGGTGGGGGGCTAGGTTAGAACCTGAGGGATGGATGGGGGGGACTTGGCAGAAGGGGACTGGCGATTCATCCGGGTCGTTGCTGTTCGTTCGTTGGCGAATTCCGTGGGTGAGTGGCGGGAAGGGGGAGGGGTAAAATAGAGGTTTAGGGATTCGTAGTAGACTGGTTCGATCACAGGAGGAGGGAAAGCTGAAGAGCGAGGAGGGATTGTTGTGGGATGCAAGACCTGGTTCGATCCGATCGTCCGGGTCTTGTCGCATGGGGGCGAGCTAAGCATCACCACACAACAAACGGTTATTTCACTCGTATTGAGGTCGGGTTGGAAAAGGGAGGGCGTCGGCCGGCTGCGGTGTGTTTGGTTTCTTCGTGTCTAGTTTACAGTCAGTGATATTGGTTTTAAAGGTTTTGACAACCTTTCTTGTGTGTCGGGTCCAAGGACGACGTTGTTGACGTCTCCTACTGCTGTGAGGTTGTATGTTGTAGTGCGATCCATCGCTGCAGTCAAGATCGGTGTTTTCTTCTCTGGGCATGCATGATGTCTTGCCCCCCGCCACGCGAAACACCATGAGCACACGCTGAAGAGGGCGAAGATAAAAAGGCACTTTGTTGACGCAATCCAGGGGTTGCGTTGTGTTGGTGCTCCTATGTGAACCTCCCCCTCCTTTCGCTGAGCGTACCGCCCCGCACGCCCAAGCTCACATCGAAATCCGGCCTCGTTATGAGAACCCTGGGGGTATCTGAGGGATCACCAAGCCAAGAGAGTTCCCCAACTACAAATAAGGGTCTCACCAACCACTAAACAGCAAAAAAAACACAAGAAACTTCTGACAGAAATTGACCACGCACCCCTTTACCTCACGAACCGGGGCACCGCTCTTGTCTACTCACTCGGGAGGGGGGGGGG